TTTACAAGACAGTGACTTTACAGCACTAGAAAGCCCAGTCTTTCTCCCATGGAGCCTCTGGTGCCAACCATGTGGATTGGAACCCAATGCATAACTACTACAGCTCAGGGCTCCTTCCAAAGTTACCAAGCATTACCATATTCTGGGAGTTTGTCTATCTTCATAGCAGTCACATGGAATTGTAGTTAGGTGCTATCGAGTGGTTTCTAACCCATAGCAAGCCTCAAAATTATTGATATGTTCCTGATTTTAGCAATGGCGGAAGCTCATTTACCAAGGGCGCCTGTGTATATAGAATCATTGTTTGTAGACATCTGTTGAGAAACACATATGGACTCTCCTGAGCTATGTCACATCCGGAAATAAACAAGGTCATAAATCCATAGAGAGAGACTGTTAAATGCCCGGCTGTAAGGCACGTTTCTCCTTTCAGTGATATGGAGAGCCAGCCGTCAGGGGGAGGCGGGGGGGAGGCAGAGTAGGGAACTTTCTTGGCATCTTTAGATCCCTTAAAGAGATTTGTTATACAGCAAAGCAATACATCAGTAGCAACACAGATGCCTAATATAGAAAATCTAATATTATGGAACATTATAGATCTTGATTAGGGAGCAAATTAAACATGCCCTATGTGTTTATATAGGGGTTCAGTCCTTTACTACAAGTATGTTCTGATCAACACGACCTTCCTTTCCCAAGCGCGAGTTTAATCACGATCAGTCAGAATTGCATTCGGAGAACAGTGGTAAGTACACAGTACTAAAGTGACCTGTAAAGTGTCAATACATTGCCTACGTAGGTGGCTTGGCCATTCTGCAAGTTACATGAAGAAAGATGGCTCCCCATCAAAGAGTGTTCTGAGATGAAGCTTTATCTAGATCGGTGGTAGGAATTAGACGGTCATGGAGAGATTCCATTTTCAGTGGATTCTGTGGCTGGGATGCTAAATTAATTTTCCTCGTCCAGCTCATGGAGTTTCATCTGGTACATTAGAGGCCTTTAATCCGGCTGCCAAGAGGCACTTAGATTTGTACCACTTTGGTTCTCTGGCCTTATGCAGACCGACTAGAATCCCAGCAGCCTGTTCTTTATTCATGGCATCCAGATCTACTTTCCTTGTTGTTGAGAATACACGCAGTAAAGCAGGGGCCCTCAAACAATGGCCCACGGACTACATGCGGCCCGCTGAGGACATTTATCTGGCCCGCCGGATGTTTTTGCCCATTTTGGATTTTACTTTAAAATAAGACATGTACAATGTGCATAGGAATTTGTTCATAGTTCTTTTTAAAACGATAGCCGGCCCTCCAACGGTCTGAGGGACAGTGAACTGGCCCCTGTTGAAAAAGTTTGAGGACCCCTGCAGTAAAGCATACACCAGTCCAATGGTTTCTTTATGTGCCAGTTAGGGACTCGTGCCATTGTGTGAAATGTGACATTCTCCCCATGAAGTAGCTCTTCCCTCATTAACATAAGCCCACTGCCCTGCAAGCTTCCTGGAGCCACTTTGATCCCATGTAGATAGCTCTCAGAATAGCATAAAGCTCAAGGCAGAAATTCTTTTCTAGTGAAGCTAGAGAAGTGTTTGGTTTTGAAAAGACTTCAGGGGATATTCTTGGTTTAAGGATTAGGTATTAATCCTTAATACCTAATTATTAGGTAGACCTAATTATTAGTGTAGGGTAATAGATCTAGGGATTCATCAGGGAGTCCATGAGAATTGGAATTCTGTTCTGAATTTGCCCCTTATTGAGTAAATTTCTTCTATGGACAATTTGGTCAAAATGTTTAGTAGTAGTAGTAGTAGTGGACCATCTAGTGCTTCTGGTCTCATGGCAGAGCCAGGCAGCTGTGCCTAGAGGCTCCACATTAAATATCCTCCTTCTGTTGCTGTAGGATCCTTGGTGGCCAAGGGGGTTAAATGTTGTGATACCAACCCAACATTAGCAGTAGAAGGGACCAGCCACTGTACAAGGAGAAAGAGGCTTTTTCGTTACCATAAAGAGTTACCGTCTCTGAAACCCCCGGGGGCTTTGCTACCCTGCCCTATGTCGTCGCTAGGTGTTGGAATCTACTCAATGGCAGTGAGTTGGATTTGATTTTCTATCTCTATTTCTGACTCTCCTTCCTTCTCTGTTGCGAGACCAACGATTGGGCCTTGCTATCTTTTAAGAACCTGTGCACTGTGAAATGAACTGAGACGTAGAACAGAAACACAATACATATTATTAGGCCAATTAATTGGGATGCCCCATGAAACAGTGACCCTCAAACGCCAAACTTAGAAACCAAATCTCATGAGGTAAATGGTTGTACAGAGGTAGTCTGTTCGGCTACTCTTTGGGGTTGTAAATCTATCTGTCGTGCAACTTTACCAATTCAACTTTTTATTTCCAATTCAACTTTTTACAAATGTATAATTGATTGACGGCAATTAAAAGAATTGCCAGTGCTATTTCCACTACCATGAACTCTCCTTTTCTTCCTCTCATATTGGTTAGCTACTAATAAACTTGGTTCTCTGTGCATTTTCCATTTCTTGTTTTTTAATATGAGTAAGATGATCTATTTTGGCCCTTTTGTGATGGATTAACCTCCCTCAGCATAATGTCTTCTGGCTGCATCCATGTTGCAGCATATCTCAAAACATTATTTCTCTTACTGGAGGAGTAGTATCGCATTAGGCGCGTTTACCATTTTGCTGATCCATGCATCTGGATTGACGGGCATGTTGGTTGGTTTTGCCATCTTTGACTTTGGGAATAGCACTGCAGTTAGCACTGGTATACAAGTCTCTTCTTGAGTCTCTGCTTTCGGGTCTTTGGGTTATATACTAGAAGTAGAATTGTTGGGTAATATGGCACTTTCAGCATCTCTCTGGTAGCTAATGACACTGAGCATCTTTTCAGGTGTTTAATGGCCAGTGGAATTTCCTATTCGGTGAAGTGCCTGCTTAAATCCTTTCCATTTTATTGGTCTGAGTTTTTGGTGAGCCAGGTTATTTTTGGTTGTTTTGGGGGGTCCTATCTATTTATTTCAGCATTTAGTATTTATCCTTTTGTTGTTATGTTAGATGAATTATTCTTAAAAGTTGGGCCTGGCAGCCCTGTCCCTGCATTTTCTTCTAAGAGTTTTATTATTTTAATTTTTTGTATATCTGTGTGTGTGGCATGAGGCAAGGATCCTGTTTCATTTTTCTGCAAGTGGAAATTCAGTTTACTAAAAACATTTAAAAAATCAGTTGACTGGAAATGTGTAGGTTTACTCAATTCTATTCCATTGTATCTATCATTATATCAATGCCCGGCCATTTTGATTATTGAAGCTCTATAGTATGTTTTAACATCAGGAAATGTGAATCTTCTCTCTTAACATTTCTGTAGCTACTTGAGAACTCTTGCCATTCTATATAAATATGAGGACTTTCCCCCCCCCTAATTCTATAAAGAAGACTATTGGAATTTTGAAATGAGATTGTTGTATCTATGGATTACTTTCGGTAATATTGATAACTGAACAATATTGTCTTCTAATCCTTGAACATGGAACATTTTCCCTTTTATTTAAGTATCCATTAATCTTTTTCAGAAGTGCTTTATTTATTGTCTTTATTGTATAAGTCCTATATGTCTCTGCTGAGGTTTATTTCTAGCTATTTTATTCTCTTAGATGCTACTGTAAATGCAACTGTTTTCTTAATTTCCTTTCACATTTCTCATTACTGTTATGTAGAAACCCAACTGGTAGGTTTTCATTGGCCTTATACCCTGAAATTTTGCTAAATTTCTCTACTGGCTTTGGAAATTTTCTTGTGAACTTTTTGGGATTTTCTATAGACAGAGATCAACTTGAATACTGTGGACAAATGACAGAAATGTTACAAGGGCTTTTTGTTTGTTTGCTTGTTTTCCCAACTGCCCCTCCCCCAAAGTGCAGTATGCTAATTTTCTTAACAGCACCACCTCAAAGAATTATCATAGTCCTTTTTAAATTACCTCTCTGGGAGGAAATGTGAGATATATATATATATATATATATAACATGTTATTTGCATAAAAGATGATATTTAATGCTTGATGTGAGAGTCTTCTAACATTGAGACTGGCAACTGACGATGAAAACTTCTATTATCTTTTACAACAGAACCTTATGTTACATGAGTCTTGTGTTGTACTATATATGACTTCCCATAAGATTTCACTGATATGCTATGGGCATTTGTTCCTGATTTAGAATGATACTGTTAGAACCAGTGGGGCTGTAAGTGTAATTGGTCAAGCTATTTCACCGACAAAGAAAGACAATAAATTTCATGAAAGTTAAAGGTTTCTATCCTCATGATATGGCTAAGGGTAGGTGTAACCTGGAACCAGGTCATTAGATTTCCAGGCAAGTGCTCTTGGATTTCTATAGCCAAAGATGCTTAAGGTCATGTTTTACTCCAGCGTCTTCTTTTTGTAGAATTAAGGCCATATTTTGATACTGATACGATTCTTCCACCTGTATGACGAGGTAAAATGAGAAAACACAATTGGCATTCTTTTGCCTAGTAAGATTAAAAAGAAAAAGGAGTTGTGGTTGGATTGATCCCAACTCATGGCATTGCCATATATGCCACAGAGCAGTAGATCACCAGGCCTTTCCTCCTGGTGATAAACTTGAACCTTCAACCTTTCAGACAGGACTGGTACCTGGTAATAACTGATCACCTACTAAAGGCCAAGGACTAGAACCTTCTAGAACCTCATGTATTCCAGTTCTCATGTATGAATGGTATTATTACTAATCCTTGAGAAAAAGAAATTATGGCTCTATGAAACTAATTTTTTTTTTCATTTCCACAAAGTAAGATGCAAAGCCAAGATTTGAACCTCTAGTCTATTTGACTCTGAAGCCTCTGATTCTAACCACTACCCTCTGTTTCATTTCCCCTTGGTGTCCAGTCGGTATTGACTCTGCTCTAAGCAAAGCCCTGGCTCAGATCTCTCCTGCTTTTTCAGGAATGCCAGCTGAATGCAAAATCTGGAGCCCCCACCTTAAAATGCCCCGGTTTGAGGGTTGCCATCCCTCGTCATCTCTGCTCTCCAAACAGCTGCAGCAGCAGCGAGCTGTCTCTGTCAAGCACCTGCAGCGAGTATTCCAGTGGCTCCTCCTGCCCATGGCATGACGAGAAGACCCCCAGGAAAAGGGTAAGGAACCTCACAGTGAACCAGTTAAGCTTCGTATTCTCGTAGGGTGCGAGAAATACCAAGGAACTGACCTTTTGCTGAGTACCTGTTCATCTGTTCCTCACAGTCACCAGCTAGGGAGCTAGTATCCCCCCTTTCTGCAGAAGAGAAGACGTGTTCAGAAAGCCTGCTACTTGCCAAAGGTGGCACAGCCAGTAATGAGTAGAATGATGAGTTGGCCAATTGACTGCCATCTTGGGAGAGAGTTTAGGAAAAGAAGGTTTCCCTCCATCGCTTTGGAAGAGGCAGCCAATAACAGATTTATATCAATGGGAAGTTGGAGCCCACGCCCAATAGACCGGATCACCCTTCGGGCCTCCTCGGACATTTCTGTCAATTCTGCGGATTTTGTCCATTGCTGTGGTAGTCAGAGACTTGTTACTGCCTGCGGTACATCGTGAGCGAGGCCACCCAGCGAACCGTGTTTGACTAAGAAGTTCTCAAAATACTAGAGATATTTTAGTTTTGTTCGAGAAAACAAGAAGGGTAGTGGGTAGTGGAAACAGACTGTTGGGGAATACTATTGGTTTTGTAGGCATTTACTCCTCAAGAATAGCATGTATGGGTGGAGTTCTAAATTTAATTTTTAATTTAAATTTCATGGAGAAATTCCATGATCTTTCCATTTTACTTTTCCCCAAACTTCTTGTCAGCCCTCTATAAAATCCTATACCCCCATAAAACACCATTGATTGGAGTGCAGCATCGTAGAGTGAGCAATTACCATGTATAAGACAAACCAGCTTCAGCATGGTCCTTTACCATGTTTGTAAATAGCTGCTTCTGTCAGCTAAGGAGCCCTGGTGCTGTCAGATGCATGCTGGGTGTGTTGTTCTAACCCACCAGAGGGGAAAGATGAGGGACCAAAGATTTACAGTCCCAGAAACCTTAAAAAGGTTATGTTTAGTCCAAATTGACTCGATGGAAGGAGGTTTGTTGGTTGGTTGGTGACTCCCATCTGCCAATGGCCTTCCACAAGCCGAAGATCCTCCATTCTTTGAGCAACCATCTTTGCAAAGGGTTTTATTAACTCCCTAATCTTGGCAAAAAGCAAAAGTAAGAATGAAAACTCCCAATCACACTATCTGCAGAGCATTGTTTTCTATCATTTATATAAACTTAACAGAAACCAAACGCATCCGTAACTTCTAGAAAATAGGAGTGAAGTAGGAAGGTCGGTATTACCTGAAAAAGATCTCAAGCTTGAATTGTGAGCTTCTTCCCTGGGACTCAGACTCCTAATACAAAGTCTGGAGACGGGTGCATTTTCAAAATTGCTCCCACTAAGGACCATGGGAGACCTGACTGCTCCCTAAAAGATGAGCCGGGTTTCCTCTCTTTGTTGTTATGACGCCCTCCCAGAACCCTTTGCTCTGCTTTTTTCACTCTCACACTGCTCTCTCTCTCTCTCTCTCTCTGGTGTGTACAGGTGTGTGGCTCAAAATTTTCCACTATCCTGTAGATGCGAACACGTGTTAGCTCGCAGAGTCCCGGGGGAGGAGGGTGCATGCTAGTGTGGAAATGCTAACAAGAGCTATACTCTGAGCCAAGGTTGGTAAAGACTGAAACCCTAAGATCCCTCCCAGTGAAGTTCCCACATTCATCTTACAGCCTTCAAAAAAAAAAAAAAGAGGTCAGCTCCCACAGTCCACTCATTTCCTTATATTCTAGTGCGTTACGAAATTGTGTAAGTCCTCCTTAAGCCGTGGGTGCAAGGACTCCGTTTTGACACTGACTAACGGGGAGGGAAGAAGTGGAACTGAGCCTGACACTGCAGCAGTGTAGCGCCCTGAGTAGACGTGTGGACGCTGGAGTGAGGCTGCCTGAGGTTAGGCCTCTGTAAACTGAGATTTTTGGGTTGAGATCACACAAGCAGTCAGAGCAGGAGTGAGACATTTGGACTGCAGCGTTCTTGGCCCTTCCCACTCTGGTGCTTTTGAGACCGTTCACAAGTGAAATGAGAATGGCATCGTCTCCTTTACTGTGTTATTCTAAAAACAAAATTATTCCCTGTAATAAGTAACTTGTCTATAGCAGATGCTCAGAAAGTATGAGTGTCCTTTTTGGCCTGTTTGCTTTATTGCTGGTACAAATGAGAAAATATGAACTATCTGGTGAATGCAACTTTTTCCTATCTTTTCCTGTACACTTTCTAAACTAAATCTGACTTGACCTTTGGGAAAGTAGAAAATGCAGAGAAAAAAACCCAGTGGGGTCAAAGGAAGCTGTCTAAATTGCACTAAAGGCATAAGTGAAAAGCAAGCTTTCAGGAATTGATAGAATACCAATTTATGTGTTTCAACAAACTGCTGCTGCATTTAAGAACTCACTAGTCTATGCCAAGACATTTGGAAGACAGTCACTCGGTCAAGTCACTGGAAGAGGTCCATGTTTGTGCCAAGTCCAAAGGAAAGCAATCCAAAAGTATGTGGGCATTTTTTTAAACGAAATCATAATAACACTTGCAAGTAAAAATTTGCTGAAGATGATTCTAAAATGGTTGCAAAGGTTGCTGCCATCAATTCAAACAGGATTCAGAAAAGCATCTGGGATAGGGATTCAATTGATGAGATCAGATTGATCCTAGCTGAAAGCAGAGAACATCAAAAGATGGGTATGTGTCTGGTACTATGACAAAGCATCCGACTGTGTGTATCATAGAAAACCATGGGGAGCATTTTGAGGAGTGCAAATTTCAGAGCATCTCACAGTGCTCATACAGAACCTATACATACACTCAGAGGTCTCATTACAACAGAACAAGGAATACTACATAGTTTAAAATCAGGAAAGCGATTGTATGCTTTCAGCATGCTCACTTAGACTGTGTATTTAGTAAATAACCGGAAATTGGACTCTATGAAGACAAATGCAGCGTCAGGATTGGAGGAAGGCTCATTAGCAGCCTTCGGAATACCAAGAACACACCATTGCTTGCAGAAGCAAGCGTGGAAGCACTTGCTGATGACAGTCGTAGACTGCACCCTGCACCATGGATCACAGCTCAATAAAAAGAGAACCCAAATCCTCAGAACTCGATCAAAAGACAACATCATGATAATGGGGGGGGGGGGAATGAATTATCAAAGATTTCAAGTAAACACTCCTGGAAGCAACAATCAAGAAATCAAATGATGGGGGGTTTTTTTTAGGTCAATGTGGTGCAAAAAACTTCTTTCAAGTGTTGAAGAGCAAGGCTGTCGCTTTGAGGACTAAGGCGTGTTTGACCGTGGTATTTCAATCCCTTTAGCTGCATGTGAAAGCCGGGGACTGATGCACTTCCTTTGCACCATGGCGTTGGTGAAGACTATTGAAAGCACCATGGACTTGTGAGAAGAACAAACACATCTCTCTTAGAGGAAGTGCGACCAAAACGCTCCTTCGAAGAGAGATGGGTGAACGTTCCTCTCATGGACTTCAGACATGGTATCATGAGGCATTTCCCTGGGAAAGGCTCTCATAGTTGGTAAAGCAGATCTCAGAGGCTAAGGGAAAGAGTCAACTACATGGATTGACAGCGTGGCTGCAACAATGGACTCAAACATAGCAATTGTGAGGAGGGTGCACCACTGAGCAGAGTGTCGTAGTTTTGTACAGTAGAGGCTGGAAAGGACCGTCAAGCACCTAACCACAATAGTAAATCATGACTGTAAGTTTCTAACAACGAATGCCAGTTTTACATATGGAAGCAAGGAGATGTGTGTATGCTTACATCTAGGGAATTCAGATGATTTTTATATTCATTGCTTACTAAAGAAACTCATCAAGTTGCAGGTGATTCATCTACTACCTAATATTAGACCTGGATGGATCAAAAAGGTAGGCTAGGCAGATAAAATACCCAGACTCTCGACAACAAAGACTCAAAAAACGATCTAAGCTGAATCTGGATAGCAGCCCTCTAGACCTAAGTACCAAAGGGGAGGAATTTTTAAAATTTTATTGAAAGTAGTGATGGGAAGAAACTGAACAAAATAGTGACCACTGAGGCACATACATTTTCAATTGTCAACGAGCCTGCCATAGCATAGACATTCTGATTCATTGCAAGTAGCTTTCCCATCAGCGCAGGTACCAGGTAACTTAACCGGTCTCTCAGGATCACATGAGCACCCACACTGGTGACCGGTGACCAGAGGGGTGTGAGCTCCCTTCTTACTCCGTAGCATCTCCTAGTGACCAGGCCCTGGCCCCTCCCACTGTCACTAGTTCTCTACGACTCCTTTTTTTTTTTTTTTTACTTTTTCCCTTTCCTAGTTCCTCCCTCTTCCACTTTTTTCCCTCTTTATTTCCCTTCCCCCTTTCTTGTAGACACGACAGAACAGGTGCCCGATCACCTCCGTGGTCTTTTATGGCCACGGTTGGCGTTATGTGCTCCCCCATCATGTTTCACTGCTAGATCTTGTGCCAGGGCTGTGCTGCGCTATTTATCCCTAAATCTTCCTTCTTTGCCTCCCTTGTTTTCCCTTTTTCTTTTCTGGCTAGCCTCCACTTTTCCCCACTTTCTTTGCTTTGCTTTCTCCCGAGCAGGAAGCGCCTCCGCCCACACCCCTCCCCACCCTCCCTCCCCCTTAGTGAGCAGGAGCTGCCTCTACAGCCTCTGTGGTCAGTGGCGTGCACTCCACGAACCAAGCACCACGTGCCAACCACAGCCGTCTTTGACAGCTAGCGCTTGTGCTATGGTGTGTTTTTGTTTCATTTTCTTTTTTCCCTCGCCTCCCCCACCCCCAACTCATTGTTTTCTTTTCTATTTCTTCTTCTAGGCCTCCTTCCCCACCTTTCATCCTCCCCTTTGTAATAACCGCAACTACTAGTTGTAATAAAATCATCAGTGATGCAGTTATAGAACTTTCTTTTTTTTTCCAATTTCTTTTTTTAAATTTTTTAAAAATCATTTTATTAGGGGCTCATACAACTCTTATCAGAATCCATACATACATCAGCTCTGTAAAGCACATTTGTACATTCATTGCCCTCATCATTCTCAAAACATTTGCTCTCCACTTAAGCCCCTGGCATTAGGTCCTCATTTTGCCCCTCCCTCCCCGCCCCCCCCTCCCTCATGAGCCCTTGATAATTTATAAATTATTATTTTGTCATATCTTGCCCTGTCCGACGTCTCCCTTCACCCACTTTTCTGTTTTCCATCCCCCAGGAGGGGGTCACATATAGTTCCTTATAACAGGTTCCTTCTTTCCAACCCACTCTCCCTCTACCCTCCCAGTATCGCCACTCACACCACTGGTCCTTAAGGAATCATCCGCCCTGGATTCCCTGTGTTTCCAGTTCCTATCTGTACCAGTGTACATCCTCTGGTCCAGCCAGACTTGCAAGGTAGAATTCAGATCATGATAGTGGGGGTGGGGAGGAAACATTTAGGAACTAGAGGAAAGTTGTGTTTTCCATCATTGCTACATCGCACCCTGACTGGCTCGTCTCCTCCCCGAGATTCCTCTGCAAGGGGACCTCCAGTGGCCTACAAATGGGCTTTGGGTCTCCACTCCACACTCCTCACATCATTCACTATGGTAAGATTTTTTTTGTTCTGATGATGCCTTATACCTGATCCCTTCGACACCCCGGGATTGCATAGGCTGGTTTGCTTTTTCCATGTGGGCTTTGTTGCTTCTGAGCTTGATGGCCGCTTGATTACCTTCAAGCCTTTAAGCCCCCAGACGCTATACTTTTTGATAGCCGGGCACCATCAGCTTTCTTCGCCACATTTGCTTATGCACCCATTTGTCTTCAGTGATCCGTTCTACACCTCGTGATCACACAGGCTGATATGTTCTTCCATGTGGGCTTTGTTGCTTCCAGTTATAGAACTTTCAAGTGAAGTGGAAGTCAAGATAATATCAAGTTAGGTTGGACCTTTGTACTTAGCAAAATGTTAGTAAATTACAGAGTAGCCGAAAATAAAATTAATAAATGTCCTCATGAAATTTTTAAAAAGAAAATCATCAAATCTCATAATCATAAACCAGCAGCAAAAGGGGAAATGATAATAACATCGATCAACAAAATTAACTCAGCTCGTAAAGTATATAGAGCAAACTCACCATCAACATGACACCCCATAAAAAAAAAGAACAAAATGACAGCAATAAATCAGACTGGACAATGAACAAGGAAGACCAGAGAAAAGCGGATGCATTGTAATGATAATGTTGAAAGTGCCATGAACTGCCAGAAGAACAAACCGATCTGTTACGAAAGATAAACAGCCAGAATACGCCTTAGAAGACCGGACGGCACGACCTCATCTCATAATGTTGGCCCTCTCAATAGGAGGAAGTAGAGCCTTGTAAAGGGCATCACACCTGATGAAGTAGAGGGCCAGAGGAAAAGAAGTCAACCTTGACAAGATGGAGCGACAGAGCGACAGTGGGCTCCAACATACAAATTGTGAGGCTGGTGTCAGACCCAGCGGTGTTTGACTCATTTGTACAAGTGGCTATTGGGTGCTGTCAAACTGGTTCCCACCCAAAGAGACTTGTGCACAACAGAACAAAATACTGCCTGATCCTGTACCTTACTGCCCTAGATCCTTATCCACTGTATTACTCCCACGTAGGAATCACTTCCTCCACTTTTTCCTAAGATAAACCCGTCTATTTTTCAAGGACTAGATAAACCAAAACTAAACTCACTGCCATTGAGTTGATTGAGACTTAAGCAGCCCTGTAGTTGAAGCCTACTATAAGTAGACGTATCCTAGGCTACCCTCAGTGCCATTGAGTCCATTTTGATTTCTGGTGACCCTGTAGGACAGAGTAGAACTGGCCCAGTGGGTTTCTGAGACTGTAAGTCTTTACAGGAGTAGAAAGCCTTGTCTTTCTCCCTTAGAGCAGCTGATGGTTTTGAACTGGTGACCTTATAATTAGCAGCCCAACTCGTAACCACTACACCATCAAGGCTCCTAATTGGGACCATACAACCTCATTTTTCTCCCACAGAATAATGGCTTATGGGTTTGAAGCACCAACAGTCCAACGCTTAATCCCCGGTGCCACCAGGATGACTTCCATTTTTTAGGGAATGCACAAAAAGCTCATGCCTGTTGAATTAATTCTGACTCGTAGTGACCCTATAGGACAGAGTAGAACTGCCCTGTGAGTTTCTGAGACACTAACTCTTTACAGGAGCTGAAAACCCCGTCTTTCTCTGTGGAGCAGCTAGTGGTTTCGAACCGCCGAACTCATGGATCCGAGCCCTTGCAGATCGTACCCATTCTGCCAGCAGGCCTCCTAGGGACTATGTATGTTTTAGAGAAAACAAACAAACGTGTCTCATTTGTCTTTCCTGATTTCTTTTTTCTTTCCTCTGAATTCCCAGAATATCTCCTACTTGCTGCATTTGTATTTCCCATTGGCTTCTTGGACTTATAATTGTTTGTGCCCAAGTCTTCTCTCTCCCCTGCTGGCCTGTGAGCTTCCAGAGGGCAAGGCTCTTACCTTCAACAGAGCTCCTTCGAAGTAGTATAGGATCCGACCAAGTACATAAATGGTTACTGCATTGTTTATGAATTACAGTGAACCCTTGTTTATCGCGGTTCATCGGTTCTAGACCCTACCGTGATAAATGAAATTCCATGAAGTAGGATTCCTTAGTTGTAAATCAAATATTTTCATAGTTAGAGCATAGAGGACATGAAAAAATACCCTTTAGTCACCATGACACTCGTATTACCCAATTTATTAAACGAAAAAGGGAAAATACAGTAAAACATTTTGGACGTTACAATGATCATTTATTATTTATGATATTATTTATGGCATCAAGCATGTACAGTATGAGCCAATCAGTGGCAGTCATGACAGAGCATGCGCTGTTCCGCCAAAACCTCGATAGAGTGAAGCCGCGGATGTCGAAGGGCGAAGTGGCGAGGGTGCACTGTACTTAGCATACGCATTTAGATGTGATTACACACCAACTACTGTACCTCTAAGATGAAGTCTAACTTAGGTCTAGTTATGAACACTTTCTTTTACATATTTGTGATGCACATGGTTCAACCTGTCTTGATATCTACTCCTCTTTCTCCCCCTCCCGCCCCCAGCAATCATCACAAAACTGGGCTAAAAGGCTCTGTATCGGCTCCTCACTCCCAAGTGGCATGGCCAGCATAGCAGACGAACTACCTCTGACGCGTGTCAAGGAAAGCCACATTTTGGAGGGCCTCCGGAAGCTACAGAAGCGAAATGTGTTCCTCGAACCCCCTTCCGTGATAACCAAATGGGGTTATAAAGATTGTATGAACTCCAACGAAGGAATATATTCCCCAGGAATTAAGGGTAGCGGCCCCAGCGAGTGCCCCCCCTGCCAGCCAGCTGACACGGGGAGCCCCTGCACAGCATGGCACAAGGCGTTTGTTGACGACACAGATGCCCACGATGACGCTGATGAAGAATCTTCGTCCTTGGCAGTGCTCCCAGCCCTTCCAAATCAGGGCTGTAGGCTGCACGGTGGCACATTGACCCAGAGTGTTTCTGACAGTCTCCTGGGCTGGGAGCTGAGAGGAAACCCCTTTTGGGAAGGCACTGCCTCCGTGTGTCCCCGGGAAAGGCCTGAGAAGTTGAGCATCTGGGTAAGCAACTGTCCTTCAGAGGGATGTGCCCCCAGGTTGGGCCCCAGGTTGCAGGTGCCTCCCTTCCGGAGGGTGAGAGACCAGCCTCAGCGGGGTTCCCTAGCTCTGAGCCCCCCGCTCTCGGACACCGACGACAATGAGACCCTGGATGAGTTGCACATTGACAGCAGTGATGAGCAAAGCCCTTCGGACTTGTCCGCCACTGCTGAGACCGACAAGTCCCTGGAGAACCCGGACCTCCCCCTTGGACTCGGAAAGTGTCCATTTGCGTCTCCCGATGAGAAGGCGAGACAAGGACCCGTCGACTTAGAGAACAGACCAAAGACATTTCGTGCCATGACACAGCAAACGGTTGTCAAAAGGACTTCTTCGGCAGAGTGCACGACTGTCATCTTTGATGCGGAAGATGGCGAGCCCATTGCGCTCGGCTCTCGCCAGGCCGGACTTGTCACGGTGACTGGAAAGGACATGTCCATCAGGCAGGTCTCTTCTGGACCCACCGCCGACCACACTGAAATTTTACCTCAGGGAATTGTCCTGCAGCCAGGACCGGATGCAAGGGACTACGCTTTCTTGGAGATATCTGCAGAGGAAATGGAGACAAACATTCCGAAAGATAATACAGATGCTGTCCCCCTGGACCTCCCAGCATCTCTCAGCCCCAGGACAGTCACGCAGAAGAATGCTCAACGACAAAAGTTGGCCAGACCAACATACAATATGTCATGGCAGAATCATTCCCGGTCTGCAGTGCCCACGGGTATCCAGCAAAAGCAAAGTCTGACGAAACTACCTGCCAGGGGGACGTCTTCATCTCAGCAATCAGAAAGAATGGAGCCGGAAGCCGCCACCAGGGTCCCCTCATCTGACCCACTGACTCTTGAAAAATCACCAGCCTGTGCTCCTGGGAGACTCCCACAGTTCCGGAAAACCGAGGGCTCAGCACAAGTCTTTGATTTACGACCAGACTCATACATTCCCAAGCTCCTCACCCAGCTTCCTCACAGCTCAAAGATGCCCAGCAGGAGGGACTGGTCTCAGTGGTCCAGGAGCCAGATTCCGGGGTCACGGTTGCTGCCAAGGTCCCCCATAGAGCCAAGTGACGACCGAGAGCCCCCCACGAGAGATGCGCACTCTGACTCGGGGCCAGATGCAGGAGCTAAGCCCCCACCAGCCCCTCCAGGCAGGTCATTGTCACTACTGATCAGACCCAGTTACGACCACCCGTCACCCCTTTCATCTGCCACGTCTGAAACCAGGGTCCCCAATAAAGCATCTAAGAAGATACTCAAACCCAAAGTATTTCCCACTCCAGTCATTGCTCCTCCTCAGGCTGTGACAGACATTCAGGGGAAGAAACCTTCTATGGCCTTCAAAAAGCCTGTCTTCACTAACCTTCTGCCTTCCACAGAAACCGGGATTCGCACCAGATGCCCCAGCCATCCCCCCTGCAGCTCATTTTCAGTGAGGGCACCTGGACCTCTAAATCCCTCTCCAAAGAGAGGTGTCCCACGGACCTCTCCGCACCAAACTCTTGGGACCACACACATGGACACAGGACTAGGGACTCCCAAGAATTGTCCCTCAACCTGTGAGGCACTGGAAACCCTGTCCTCTAAGAGTGAACCTCCAGGAAGAAAGGGACAATTGAACCCCAGTGTCCCCACATCCCCCAAGTCTTCCTCTTTAGGGCAAAATGAGTCACCATCTTCTCAGGTTCCCAGTATCCCATCATCAGCATCATCACCATCACCGTCACCGTCACCATCCTCCCACAAAAACAGTCATCCCCGACACAGTCATCCAAACCCTCATGAAAATGGACTGAACTCTGAGCTCCCAATGGGACTCAGCGTTCTCCTAAACCCTCCCCAGTTGCTCAGGAAAAGCTCTCCGGTGTCAGGGAAACAGGAGAAAGACAGTCTAAATGCAGCGTCTAAGAGCTCAGGGGCTGCGAGTAAGGCGAGGCAAGATGGACAGAGCCCAAGGAGTAGGGTGGCCGCCGAGGAGGAAACAAGCAAGGTGGATCTGGGTCCACAATCAAAAGACAACTTCGCGGCTGGGCTTTCCCTGGAAACGGTCCTACCAGCCTCACTGGAGAACTGCCTCCCTGGGGCTGATGGGAGGAACAGAATGGGCAACAAATTGGTGAAAAGATCCCTGTCTTCCAGCAAGCCACACCTGAAACCAGCTCTGGGCATGAACGGAGCCAAAGCCCGCAGCCAGAGTTTCAGCACCCACTCAGGAGACAAGCCTTCCCCCGCCCCCATGGAAGGGTCCAGCAAAGTCCGAACTCAGATAATCACCAATACTGCCGAGAGAGGCAGCTCCCTCACCCGGCAGAACTCCTTCATGGAAGGCCTGCCCAGCAAGCCCCCTGTGGCACCAGGTCCCGAGAGTCTTCCCAATGCTGGGCGGCCCCTGGGGTCCCCCTCCTATAGGCAGGGGTCTCTGGGGAGCCCTGGAAGCTCCAGCAGCCAGCAGGGTGGTCCAAGAAAGTTGCCTTTGAGGATTCTTCCAGAACCCGAAGGGCATCTCAACCCACCTGGGATGGAAGACCAGCGGACGGACACCCAGGGAGAATGTCCCGGAGGGATTGTGCCGGCAGGAGCGGGTAGCAACCACTGCAGGTGCCCGTCTACCCCAACAGACTGCCCTCATGTCCTGCCAAGCCCAGAGAGGTTGCAGTGCCCCAGTGGGTTTGAAACAAACAGGATACCCCATCTAGAGACGTCTGGAAGGCATCCAGAGGCCTCTACCACCAGGCCTGATGTTGTGAGCCCAGAAGCTCCCCTCTCACCCACCATTGAAGAAAAGGTCATGCTGTGCATACAGGAGAATGTGGAAAAGGGCCAAGGGCGAACACGGCCCACGTCTGTGGAAGCCAAGCAGAAGCCGGGGCCTTCTTTTGCCAGCTGGTTTGGGTTTCGGAGAAGTAGGCTTCCAGCCCTGAGTAGCAGGAAAGTGGAGGCCCCTAAACCCAACGTGGGAAGGAAAGACGCGAAAGGCTTGGGGTTGGGAAGCAAACAGCTCAGATCGGAGAGGAAAAAGGAAAGGAAGAAACCCGAACTGCAGGGTGAGATCGAACACGGGCTCAACGGGGCCACCGAGGCAGCGGATGGCCTGGGCGTTAGTTTACCAAGGCACCACAGCCTGAAGACCCCACAAGACACGTACCACCCAGTCACGTGTGAACTGAGACATGGACCCGGGACGTGTCCGCCCAAAGATGCCTTCATGACGGAACTTTTGAACAGGTAACTCACTGGAGAAAAGAGGCGTGATGTAGCGGGGGTGCGGGTGGGGTTGCTCTGGGAAATACGGTTCTTTGCTCCCTGCATGCAGTTCCATGCCGCCAGGCAAGCTTGTTTTTCATACCAGCAAAAATGCATCGTATCACCCTTTCATCCATTAGCCAGAGTTTAAATAGCAAAATAAAAGTTAGCAGTAAAATGATCATTTAGTGCATGTGACTTGGTTAACCAAACCAATGGGCTTTGAAGTTAAAGAATGGAAAATATTATCAAGGTTGCTAGAAATTCAACCTACACTTTGGAACCATGAATGCATCCACATGGCATGAAATAAATGGAGGAAAATTACACATATGTTTTTAAAGGATGTTGGTCTCAAGCAAAAGGTCTATTTAGAAAGTTCCCAGAGATAATTACCTTTCTTGCTGATCTGACGCCGGAAATGTATTTAGCAGTCAATTTATAATAGTTTTTATTTCTCCTCCTCCTCCTGATCATATAAATAAGTTAATAAATTCCAAAATAAAACACTCCCGGCAATCAAGTCCATGCCGAGACATGGCAACCCTACAGGGTAAGCTAGAATTTGAGAATTCCCGAGACTGTAAATCTTCTTTCTCCGCGGAATTACTGGATTATCAAGGCTAAATCGACATACGTATTAGCTAGACCATCCGGTGAAGATCTGATCAAGCGTTACCACTCAGTGATCTAAACACAAAGGTTTACTACGAACATTCAAGAATTGGGAGAAGTCCAGGGCTTGAAGAAAAGCCATGTAATTTATCAGAGGAATTACTTTCTACCTGCAGAGTTGACCAGAAAGCCATTCATTCAGCAGGAAGTGGATCAAACAATGTTTCCTTCAGGACTGAGTTACAGGGCAGTTCCCAGGGCGCCTGTCTTCTTAGCAGCAACACCAGCTCTCGCGGAAACCATAAGAAAAACATGAAAGCCAAAGGCGATGTGGAAACACCGGAAGACTCCCTGGTAAGTGCTCTGCCATTCTGGTTATAATTGGTAGGTTCTGAGATAATCTCATTGGATTTTTTCCCCCTGCCCTTTGATGCTAAAGATGCCTGGCAAGAGAGTGGGAGGGAAGAGAGAGAGAGCGAGCGAGCTGATGAGAGCCATGGGAGGGAGACAGCAGGAAGATGGGAGTGGCCATGGCTCCACCCAGCACTGCAACTCAAGGATGTTTAGTCCGATGGTATAAGCACAGGACAATGATGCCACCGGTGTTATCTTAAAATTACACCCTTGTGCTGGAAATTTGATTGTCACTTCCAACATTACCAGCAATAACAACAAAAGAATGAACATTTTTCTCTATTTGTTTGTTCATATTGGGGTTTATTGCAGATGTATTTTGTGACCCTCTTGCACTTTTGTTCAGTGTTTTCCTGTTCTTCAGTATATGATGAACCTATAGGGACAGCAAGTAGAATAAGGGTGTTGGGTTTTTTTATCGGGGGAGCGGTTCAAGAGAGCCAATGGCGAGGAGTTCAATAAGGAAGAGAATGTTTTGAAACTGGTTGTGGTAGCAATTGTACAGTAGTGCTTGATGTGATTGAACCATGGAACAATATGATATCTATTAACTCCCAATGAAATGGTTTGGGGGAAAAAATATTTGAGAAACTATTTAACACAACATTGACTATTTTTGATGCTTTGATGTAAACATTGTTTAGTTTTTGTTTTGTTTTTATCATTTTATTGGGGGCTTGTACAATTCTTATCACAATCCATACATACATCCATTGTGTCAAGCACATATGTACATTTGTTGCCATCATCATTC